TGATTTCAGTTTATGGTGTAAGTTCGTTTGCTTTGTATCCGAGGAATTATTAGGAATTGAATTCAAGTTAGAGGGCGATCGAATGGAGTTAAATGGTCGATCGATATAGTACGGAAATCGAGGTAATACTCTATTACCTTTTGTATGCTATTCGGAACTCTTTGATAGAGGGTAAATGCATGAATGAAAATGATTGCTCCATTATATGTATTTAACTATCATCGTACTCAGACGGAAATTGAAATAAAGATAGAGCATTAAATAAGATTTAGATGGCTCGAAAAAGAGAAACTGGAAGATAAATCGAAACTAATTATAAGTTTAGTGATTCAATAATAAATGAATTAGTTTCAAGATCCGTAAATTTTGATAAATCACTTTAAAGGTTAAATATTAGGATTATTTGGTTAATAAATTACCTAAAATAGCCCTAAAGGGTAAAATTATGAAAATGCCCTTATACTGAAAAATGACCAAGACTTCCCCTAATGGTTAAATTAACCTCCAGTGAACAAATGAGCAAAGTACTCTAAAATTTAATGGAACTGGAATACTTTTAAGCCTAAGTTACCCGACGTAATGCCACTGTCGGAATTGAATGAAATTACGATAATACTCGTAAAGAGTAAAACGAAATATCGATGACTATGATAATGGAGATGACTTGAGAACCCATACCTTAATTCACTAGAACCTTGGAATCATCGATTTAAATTTCGGATCTATATTGGATTTATAGAAATACCCCTGAAGTATTTCCAAGCCTTGGAATGACTAATGCCCTCAAGCTCCAAAATGAATAAATCAACCTCGAATACCAATTTGATTATATTATTTGACCAAGTTAAACGGAATGGAAGTACAATATGTATTCGAATTTGCGGAAACGACCAAATTACTCAGGAAACTCCTAAGCGACCAGGATTAATTTGAATACTAATTGAATTAAGTACCCCGATGACCTTGAATTAAGTGAATAACTTAGATAAGTCTAGAAACACTGACGATCTTATATGTTGTATTGTCTTTATGGGTTATGAACCACAAATTAAAGTACGTCAACAAATCCTGATTTTGTTGCAATGCGTAAATGAAATAAAGACAATCAGAATATTTGTTTGTCTCCTTAAGATCTATTTAGCGATGATCCTGAAGTTGAATTATGGTTAAGAATTGTTAGTATTAAAGAGTGAATACTCTAGAAGTGCAACGATTTGACCGGTTGATAGATATCATTGAAGGGACTTGTACAGTTTGGGTTGACTCAATATTCTGATAAGTTGGCATGCATTAGTTCTGGGAGTTGTTCAGCTCGAGTTATTTTGATATTCCGATAGGTCGACACAAATTGTAAATGCTCTAAATCTTCGTTTCTCCCTTATTCAGCTCAAATCACTTAAATCCTCCAAGAATCTAATGCCCAAAATGCTTCTAATTTTCCTGAATAATGGAATCTCTCTGGTCATATATGAAAACACAAGTAACTCTGATGCAAAGGATTTTGAATACGTTTCTGATTATTTAGTGCCTCCGAAAAATGTCCCAATATTTTATAAACCTAATAAATCTCATTCTGAATAATTGATGATCTTGTCAACTAATGAACTATTTCAATAGTGATTTTAATTTTCGACATTCTATCGGTATACTGAAGATATGTGTTTCTGTACCCGATAAGATTATTCAGTATCTCCGAATAATATCTGGAACCTCTAGTGTGTTCCCTGATCACATGGATGTTTTCTCTGATTTATGTTCTGATCTCTACTCTGATTTCTGATATCTCTGTTTACTGACTAAGAATGTTTTATTTAGGGTACTCTAGGATCTGGTATGAAGACTCTGGCAGGTTCAGTCCTTGCTGGTAATTCTTTGTATAGGTTCTGCATCGACTGTTAATTCCTATCTCTGGCAGGTTCAGTCGCTGCTGGTAATTCCTTTTATAGGTTCAACATCGACTGGTAATTCCTTATGGACCTAAGGCGACCATTGGGTAGGCTTTGCGGCCCCAATATTTTTCTTGTGTAGGCCCGTAGCCCCGAGAACTTTCTTGGGTAGGCTCTCAGGCCCCAAGATGCTTCCTTAGGTTATGCATTTCTGGGGTACTGCATATAGCGTTTGGTTGGAGGGTTTTACTATGATTTTTAAAAATACGTTTTAAACTGCTACTGTTTTAAAAATGATCTGTACATTTTCACTGGTTTTGTGGGAACACACTAAACAACCTATTCTGATCTCCTGAACCCAGACATCCGAAATATTTCCCTCTGAACTGAAAACTTACTATCTGTTACTACCTGAGATATCAGTAGGATCTCCGCTCAGCATAAAAATCTGTAGATGTCTGAACCAATAAAAAAATTATGCTTATCTGTTATCTGCATGTTTCTCAGCATCTTCTGGTAGTTCTGTATTACTGAGCTTTCCAAAACTCACTTTGTTACTCACCTTTTCAGGTTAATAGAATTGAACCAATGCAACTATCGACGTCAGTAAGGGAGTTCCACCGGCGTTGCTTGCGGAGTTCGGTGCTTATGATTAAGGGCCATGTAACTTGTATTTTTTTTATATCCGATTCTGGAATCTATTTTATTTCTGATTTTTTTTAATTTTACTTTTGTGTTTATAAATTGTTTTTATAATTTTACACGTTTAAAAGAAATTTTAAATTTTCTGAGATTTTTATAGTGGGTCGCTCCGGTGGTCCTAATTTGACACTTCGAATTTGATCGGATCACCCGTATCGGTTTGAGGGGTTACAACATCAACCCTTTTGAAACCCTTTTGAACACTTCACCTAAAACAACACATTGGTGGGCTCTAATTTACCTAAATACCTAAATCATTACATCAAATAATTCGACAAGATTACCAAATTTAAACTGTAAGTAGATGATTCAAATTCGTAAGAGGAGAGAGAAGGATATAAAAAATTCTTGAGACAACTGTAATTATGTGCTTGAGGACCGGAAAGAAAATGATTGGCAAAATACATTTTAAATTACATAACTGATTTGGTTCCCACAATCCATCTTAAATTACTCCATTTCTCCATCATCCCTTTCCTTATCTTTTCTTTTCTCAGCCCCCATTGAACTAAGAGAGGAGATATTATAACACATTTAGATTTTTGTTGTTGTGTGGAGCTGAAAACCATGGCATTTGCAGGAACAACCCAGAAATGCATGGCCTGTGACAAAACTGTCTATCTGGTCGACAAGTTAACTGCTGACAACAGGGTTTATCACAAGGCCTGTTTCAGGTGCCATCACTGCAAAGGCACATTGAAGGTAAGTACTTAAAAGTACATAATCTTTAGCAGATAAAACTCAATATTGACTTGTACATCCATTTGCAGCTTGGCAACTACAATTCCTTTGAAGGAGATTTGTATTGTAGGCCTCATTTTGATCAACTTTTCAAAAGAACTGGCAGTCTTGACAAAAGCTTTGAAGGTAGGCAAATTCAGGGTTTTTCAACTAGTATTTGTTTTTTTTCCGTTAAAAGATCTAGCCGATTTTCGAGTTCAAACTCGTTTTTCTTTCTAGGTACACCAAAATTGCAAAACCAGAAAAACCAGCTGATGGTGAGGTAAATTTCATTGAACTTACTGTGCCTGCTTATTATATTTAAGTTAACAAATTTATGATAAACCATGATTACGATATGAGCTACTTTGAACAGAAAACTGCAGCAACTAAAGTGTCGGGCTTGTTTGCAGGAACCAGAGATAAATGTTTTGCCTGTAAAAATACCGTATATCCAACTGAGAGGGTAAGAGTTTGCAATAATGTTAGGTTCTGCTAAAGTATTAGCTGTAAAAATTCCCAACCCCCCCCCCAAAAAAAAAGGTTACAGTGAATAGAACTCCCTACCACAAGAGTTGTTTCAAGTGCACACATGGAGGATGTGTTATCATCCCTTCAAATTATATTGCTCATGAAGGCCGACTTTACTGCAAACATCACCATGGTCAACTCATAAAGGAAAAGGGGAACTTAAGCCAGCTTGAAGGTGAGCGCGAGGTGAAGAAAGTTAATGCGACCGAGGTCGCTGCTGAATCCTAATCTGTCATCAACCTTTGGTCCTTTCTTCTTGATATTCCATGTTCTGTTTTCCCATGTTTCTACCCGGTTCAAATGCCCTGCATTCTCATGTCAACTGTTTTTCCCCCCCTAAAGACCAGAAGACATTATTTTGTTGATAATATAATAGAAGTGTTTGGCTTTTGTATGTTATTTTTGAATGCTATTGTGCAGCATCTTGCGGACAATTGAGATGCCAAGACCTATATGAGTCTCGGTAATGCATTATGTCGATGATTGCTATCATTACTCTTAAGCACTAAACTAGTTTTCAAACGAATGTATGAGACCTGGTCAGACTTGCACTTTAACAACCCACAAATATCTAGTTAGGAACTAAATTAACATTTATGTCAAACATAAAGATCTCATCATGACAACAAATACTAACGCATAAAGTAGTAATAATATACAAACGAATTCAAAAATAACTTTGCTAAATACTCAAAAATACCATAGTTCGACACGCCACCATTCTTGGAGCTGGAAAATGAAGAAATTTTTATTGAATTAATCAGAAATTCATTTACGAACTTTAAAATGTAATCCAATCAATCTATCCAAATTAAACTCTTGCGAATATAATCAAACGAACAAAGTAAGCTTAAGGAAACTCAATAAGGTAGTCAAGACAAAAACAAAGTAAAACATATCAATATAATAAAGTATAAGCAAATGACAGATTATCATAACAAAGCATTACATGTCAATGCTAGTATGCAATGTTCACAACATTAACAAAGCATTTAGAGATATTTTTATCAATATTATCCTCATACGTTATTGATAATTGTTAGAAAGTTAAGTAGTTTGATGCTAGTTGACAATTAATTAGAAATTTGTTAGACTGTTAATATTAAATTATAAATATCTATATCATTGTAATGGACTGTGTACTGTTTAGTAATACTCAATTGGTTTACCTTTAATAAAAGAAACAATTTACTTTCTCGAAAGTATTCTACTTTGCTAACCCTAAATAATCATCTTTTGTTTCCCCTTAGATTGCTGTCGCTTGGCAGCATCCGGTCACCGTGCCGGAGTTGTTTTCTCCACAGGGTATCATTCGCCAAACGGTTCTGACGCCTTTTTCACACGGCTCTCTTTCACACTAAACACCACCCATTTCCCCTCCATCACAAACCCATCTTCATCGCCCCCCAAACGATTCCCAAACGCCTCCTCTTCAAAATGGCCGATACCCACAAGTCCCATTCTTTCCCTTCCCTCGAAAAAGCCTCAAAACCCGAGTTACTCCGTGCCGTTGAGTCTTCCCTAGGAACATCTTTCAGCTCCGAATCGATTCTCCCCGCCCCAAACCCTTTAATCCTCGTCTTAAGCGGTCCGAGTGGCAAAGATGCAGTCATCAAACGGCTGAGACAACTCCGGGAGAATCTTCATTTCGTCGTCACGGCCATGAGTAGACCGATGAGACCCGGTAAGGTTGATGGTAAAGATAATTTTTTTTGTGTCAAAGGAAGAGTTTTTATCGATGGGTCAGAAAGATGAGCTTTTGAAGTATGCTATGGTTTATGGGGATTATAAAGGGATACCCAAAAGGCAAATCAGGGAATTCATGGGGAAAGGGTGTGATATTGTGTTGAGGGTCGATATTCAAGGGGCTGAAACATCGAGGAGGATCCTTGGGGATTCTGGGGTGTTCATATTTCTTGTTGCTGAGAGTGAATTAGCGTTTGTTGAGAGGCTGATTGAGAGGAAGACTGAGAGTAAAGAGGAATTGCTTGTGAGGATTGCTACTGCCTCTTCCATCAGTCGCGTTCGATTACTGGTTCATGTCTTCGTCGCTATCTTTTTTTAGTTTTAGATATCGACAATGCCATTTTTAAGATCTGATTTCTGAAAATAAATAAGTTCATTGATGAGATCTATTGAAAGACTAGATTGAGTTTAATTCTTTCGTTCTTGCATTTTTTTTTCGTGGTATTTGCTTTGGAATATTTACTGCTGCCTACTGCTTATGTTTTGTTGAGATTAATTTTGTGTTGGTGATTTACAATGGTTATCACATGCAAATCAGCTTTGGTGATTGGATTTCTTGCATTTGAAACATTATTCAAGTAAGAATTTAGAGTTCGTATGAATTTGAGCAGAGCAGTGACATGTAAGAATTTTGTTGCAGTGATTTAGTTGTTGCTTAAACGTGCACACTCCTGCTTCATTTGGTTGTTAGTTTGCCTCATTGGAGTTGGTTTGAGTCTTATTCTGTTGACTTTTACTGCGTTGGTTACTGCTGGTGATTGGCTGAGTACTTGTTCAATGATATAAGTGGGTTAATTTGGTTGAGAGAAATGGTATTGTTTGCCAAGAATTGCGTTGATCAGTTGCTGTAATTTTGGAGTTCTTCATTGTATGCTACTTCTTCTCCAAAGTAGTTGAAATTTGAAGCTTAATGGCCAAGTGTCCATAGTAGAAAATATCTGGGGATAGTCAAGAGTTTAACAGCCCTGCTCTCCTTAACCAGACAAAATATTGTTTTCTTGTCCAAGATATATTTTAGATGGCACACGGGAGCTCGTAGCTTAACTGCCTTGCTTCCAACAAAAAAATTATCCTAACAAGTGAAGATGAAGAAAAGGAGTAAAAAAAAAAAATCTCTTGAAGAAAAGATAAAAGCTAAAGGAAGTTTCTAAAGTTTTTTGAACACAAAAGTTGTTCAGTGTACCTGAATTCCGGGTCACAATTCTGGCTTACTAAGTTTGCAGTCTTTGTTCGGTCGATTCTCTCTCTAACCGCAAGAGGTCGAAGTAGGGTGACTGTTAGACAATTAAGTAGTTTGATGTTAGTTCGCAATTAGTTAAGAATTTGTTTGATTTGTTAGGCTATTAATATTAGGGATGGCAATGGGTCGGGTAGGGTTTTTGGGTCACCCGACCCGACCCGAGAAGAAAGGGTACTTCACCCGTGACCCGATCGACCCGACGAAATTAAGGTTTCACCCGATCTGACCCGAATATATGATTTAAAAATCCGACCCGAAATAAAAAAAAATATTTTTATTCAATAAAAACAGTGACTTAATTGAAAAAAAATATATATATAGAGGGGTAATATTGTAATTATCCCTAAATATATAGAGTAAAATTATATATATTTTTCGGGCCGGGTCGGATTTTTTCACCTTAAACTCGATCCGACCCGAACAATACAATTTAAAAAACCTGACCCGACCTCGATTTTTTATTTAAAAAATCTGACCCGATCGGGTCGGGTCGGAACCTGTCGGATACGGGTTGAATTGTCATCCCTAATTAATATTGGGTTATAAATATCCATATCATTGTAATGGGTTGTGTACTGTTTAGGAATACTCAATTGGTTTACCTTTAATAAAAGAAACAGTTTACTTTCTCAAAACTATTCTACCTTGGTAACCCTAGATAACCATCTCTTGTTTCACCTTAGTTTGCTGCCGCTCGACAGCATCCGGTCACCGTGCTGGAGTTGTTTTCTCAACAATAGTCCATGAATACTCGACTCTCTTTGTAAGTGTCGATACGATACAATTTAAATAATCATTTATCTGTCTCATTGAGACACATAGTCCAAATAAACATCATCTCTCTATCTCGTCAAGACTGAAGTATTAAAATAACACATACACCGGTGATATAAATGCTATTACATATAAATTATACCCAATCTAATATCAAATGGCTCAATCCATATCATTGTTAAAGCATAAAAGAGTGCCATTTACTTAATCAGATTATGAGTATTTACTTAATCAGATTATGAGTATCTTATTATAAATATTGAACAAGCATTTTAGCTCAATTTTATATATCAAACATGGAAATTTGCTTAAATTCATAAAGATATTATTTTCGTATCAATCATAGATACCAACATTCTCACACATATTCAAAATTATCCAATTTTTAAATCGAAACATACAAATACCTCTTCAAGACACAAGCTATCCATTTGCTTGGTTTAGATCCAATAATGAAGTTTAAGCATTTTAATCATATAAACCTACACAATCAATTACCACAACAAATATACATGCAAATTCAGGCTCGATATTGATTACATTCTCCTAATTCAAACTAATAATATTCCTCGGATTGATAAATTACTCGATAATCTTTGCTTTTCCCCTTTATTTTGAGGTTCCAACTTCACCGTTTTGAACTTCAAATAATACATATTTGTTGAACATACTTTAATATTTTGATATATCAAAAGTGGTTAATATTTTTAAGAAAATTTAAGATTATATTCGATTTGGTTACTCAAATATAAAAACTCTTTGAAAAGTTAAAAACTTCATTTTACTCCTTACTTTCTTGAAAAATTGAGTCATATACTAGAAATAGTTTTGGAACAAATTTTACTAAGAGTTTCAAACTTTAATTGGGTCAAAATTTATTTTTAAGCATAGTAGTATCAATACTACAAGAACAATACTAATACTATTCATACGGTATCGATGCTAAAAGCTTAAAAATACATAGTTGTATTAATACTGCTCAAGGTAGTACCGATACTCCTTTTGTTTTGAAAAAAAAAACTAAGCACATTTGGTTTTGATGCCCTTTTAGTACCGATACTACTGATAATAGTAGTATTGATACTCCAAATGGTAGTACCGATACTACACTTATGATTTTGAAATATTATAAATTTCAGTAAACAATATTGGTACCGATACTTATCTATTATCAATACTACTTATAATAGTAGTAATGATACCCCTCTTTCTCTAACGACTATATTTTTGTAATTAATGCAAGTAGTACCGATACTCCAAGCCCGAGTACCGATACTCAAGTGTTTGGGTAGCATTTATTGTGAGAAAACTTCATTCCAAGGGCTTCATTAACTCCCACAACTACCAAATGACTATAATTGAATGAAGTGATATAAAAAAGTAAGATCTTAACACACATGTGAAAAAAAGAGATAAAAAATAAAGCCAAAATAATCAAATAAAGCCAAATTCAAGTTAACATTATAATATATTATTTTTACTTTGAAGAACACTTGTGTACTTCTTTGTTTTACTCTCTAAAGTGTTCTATTTTTTCAAATTTTACAAACACACTCCTTGTTAGGGATTTTTCAAAGTTTGGTGATTGTAATTTCTTTTTTGGAAGGGTGTATATTTGAAACTTTGAGGTATAAGTCTAAGTGTGTTGTGAGGTTACACCTATCCTAAAAGGTTTGAACAAATTAGTGACTTTGTTGAAATCCTTTGTGTTGAAGCTAAGATAGTGGGTGTCGATTTTATTGAGAAAGTTGAACCACTCTAAAATTTCTTATGTCAATTTTTCATTTTCTTGCAAAAAGTTTGTCAATTTTTTAATTACCAATTCACCCCTCTTGGCTATTTTCTCAATTTGATTGACTCAACAACTGATATCATAGCGTAACTCATTTGAAGACTTAACATCCTCTTGAGAAGATCCTTTGAATAGTTCAATCATATCATCATTAAAAGTCACTCCATCTACTTTCGAAATTTTTGACGAGTCTCAATTCATTTCAAAGTCTCCTTATTTCATTGATGCTAACTATTCTTATTGGAAGATTATGACGATGTTATTTATTTAAGCCACCTATGATTTGATTAGGACATCATCATCGACGTATCATCCATTCTTTCAAAGATGCAAGGAGAACTTATTGTACCAGAGGTCAAGTCTGAATAGAACTATGAATACCGAAGACTTGCTCAACTCAATGCCAAGTCCATGCACATTTTCTTTATGCATTAGGCCCCGAAGAGTATAGTAGAGTGTCTACATGCTCAAATGCTAAGGAGTTTTTGAAGAAGCTTGAACTCACACATAAAGGTACAACATAAGTGAAGAAATCAAAGATTGACATTCTCACACTTAATTATGAGAATTTCAAAATTAAGCACGATGAAGATATCAAAGTTATGTCCGATCGATTTACCACCATAAAAAATGTGCTAAAGACTTTTGGAAAATTCTAATCAAATGAAAAAGTATTGAGAAAATTTCTTTATAGCTTTCAATGTCTTGGGAATCCAAGAGAATAGCTGTAATACCTTAAAATTTTGACTAAAGACCAAAATGAAAAATTTGAAAGTTTAGTAGCCAAAGTATAAATTTGGGAAAAGTTTAAAGACCAAAATGGTAATTTTCCTGTAACACTCATAGTCCGTATACGACTTAAAATATGAGCTCAAGATGTCACATCAACTTTAGGAACATTCACTGAATGTAAATGCTGAAAATTTAGTTTTATTTTAAAATATTCCTTTATCAATTTTATATCTGCTTCATTTATCATGCATTTTCTTAAAATAATAATTTATTATTCCAAAACAGGATGATCTTATGCAGCAATTAGGCAATTCCTTGTGGTTTCTTATTTATATACAACAACCTAATATTGCTTAATTTAAAACTATTTGAAAAGGTTCGTAATATTCATTCATATTTACGACTATAACTAAAATTAACCAAAATTAACAGTCTTAAATTACTATTACAGACCCTTTTGATAATAAATCTGATAAAACAACCTAACATATATAATGTACAAGCCACTAATAAATCAAATTAGGATATCTTACTGATATTGTCGGTAGGTTTGATTTCCATAAGATGCTGACAAACTCCTCACTTCACATTCTCTACTATATTCGAACCTATGCATGAAAATCATCATGCGCTAAGTAAAACTTAGTGAGACAATAACATAACTAAAATGATATAAAATATAAATTTCATAAAGTATTATAACATGAAACTGAAATTTTAATGAAAATACTAAAGCTTTTGAACCGAGTTGTTCAAGTTGATTTTCCCTTGAAACTTGAAAATCATCCGCACATGATTTAATCAAAAATCA